AAATCGTCCTTTAACGTATCTAATTCGCTTTTAAATTTACTAATGTTTTCCGTTTGTACTTCTTATTTCCTTTCTTGTTCTTGAAAAGTTGTTTACGAAATTAGACCTATCCATGAGATGGCAAATTCTACTTTTATCTGCTTTCTATCGTTTAGTTCAAGTATGAATATTTAGTTATATTAAAGCACTAATTCACCTTCTAGCTAGAGCACGTTGAATTTAAGTATATATCTGTATTACGAAACAGACACAAACTTTCCCTATCATTGACGTACAGATATTAATATTGCGAAAGGTTATGTAAATTAGCTAGTCACATGAGATGTAACCTCGTGGTCTATCCGCTAGATAAAAACCATTCCTTGCTGTTAAACGAGCCAGTTAATGTTTGTTTTGTTTCTTTGTTATTGAATTTCGCGCAGTGTAAGACTAGAGGGAAGGCAGCTAGTCATCACCACCCACCACCAACTCTTGGGCTACTCTTTTACCAACGAATAGTGGGATTGACCGTCACATTATAACGCCCCCGCGGCTGAAAGGGCGAACATGTTTGGTGTGACGGGGATTCGAACCCACGACCCTCAAATTGCAAGTCGAGCACCCTAACCACCAGGTGGCCATGCCGGGCCACCAGTTAATGAGAATGAGATACAGTTAAAACGATTGTTTGTTTTGAAGTTAAGCACAAAGCTACACAATGAGCTATCTGTGCTCTGCACACCACGGGTATCGAAACCCAGTTTCTGGCGTTGTAACTGGGGGGCAGTTAGAACGAATTATTACTGATTGTTGCTCGATATTTTTATTCATATTGAAGTGGTTTAATATTGGAATATTGTATTTTTTTTTTTTGGAATTAGGTCTTTTTTCTTTGGGTTAATTTTCCTAATTCCTTTATTTATTGAAGTTTTTACATTGGCATTTATGGTGTATTGTTTAATAACGTTTATATTGTTACGTCTCCGTTTGTTGATTGATTTGCCGTAACTTCGTTCCGACGAAACTTTAGCGACACAAGT